CTCTTGATGAAAGTGAAAGAGGAGAGTGAAAAAGTTGGCTTAAAGCTCAACATTCAGAAAACTAAGATCATGGCATCTGGTCCCATCACTTCATGGGAAATAGATGGGGAGACAGTGGAAACAGTGCAAGACTTTATTTTTCTGGGCTCCAAAATCACTGCAGATGGTGATGCAACCATACTTCGGCCAACTCATGTGAAGAGTTGACTCATTGGAAACGACCCTGATGCTGGGAGGCATTGGGGGCAGGAGGAAAAGGGGACGACAGAGGATGAGATGGCTGGACGGCATCACCGACTTGATGGGCATGAGTTTGAGTGAACTCCGGGAGTTTGTGATGGACAGGGAGGCCTGGTATGCTGTGATTTTGGGGTCGCGAAGAGTCGGACACAACTGAGTGACTGAACTGACTGATGCTGTAGTAGACTGTGTAGTATCCCACTGTATAGAGAGACCATAATTTAATTAACCCATCTTCTACCATGAAAATTTAGGTTATGTCTCAGTACTATGATGAACATTTATATATATATATAGTTATGTGTTTCTATGCTGAAGGATTTTTTTAAAGTGTGAAAGTGGAGCCACTAAATATACAATAACAGAAATTAAAAAACAGAAAGGAAGTAATAAAGATAATATCAGAAATAACTGAAAACAGAAAACACATTAGAGAAAATCAGTAAAAACAATTATCTGATTGTTATGAGAAAAATATCAGGAAGATCAGTAAACCTCTAGCTAGACTGATAGATATGAAAAGAAAAAAGACAATTTACCAACATCAGGAGTGAAATAGGAGAGTTTGCTACAAATTTGGTATTCTTTAAAAGGATAATAAAGAAATAAATGAACAACTTTGCAGTTTTAAACCCAAAAAAGTAATGGACTAATAGCTTGAAAACCATGAATAATGAAAATTCAAGTCAAGATGAAATGCCATATACATAGTTCTGCAACTATTATAAAAATTGATTTTATATTTTAAAAGCTTCCCAAAAAGAAATCTTTAGGTTTGAGTTGTTTCACTGGAGAATTTTATCAAACATTTAAGAAAGATTTAGCACCAATTTTACATAATCATATCCAAAAAATATAGGGAAGGAATCACTTTGTAATTCATTTTATGAGACTGCTACTGCTGCTGCTAAGTTGCTTCAGTTATGTCCGACTCTGTGTGACCCCATAGATGGCAGCCCACCAGGCTCCTCTGTCCCTGGGGTTCTCCAGGCAAGAATACTGGAGTGGGTTGCCATTTCCTTCTCCAATGCATGCATGCATGCTAAGTCGCTTCAGTCATCTCTGGCTCTGTGCGACCCTATGTATAGCAGCCCACCAGGCTCCCCTGTCCACAGGATTCTCTAGGCAAGAATACTGGAGTGGGTTGCCATTTCCTTCTCCAGTTTATGAGACTAGTATTATCTTGATACCAAAAGCAGACAGCACAAAATGGGAAAACAGCAAATCAGTAACTCATGAACTGATATGCAAAAATTCTCAACAAAGTATCAGTAAGTTGAATCCAGCAGTTCTTTGTAAAAAATAATAATTTACATGACCAAGCAGGGTTTTATCTCAGACATACAAAGCTTCTTCAAATTTCAAAATCAATCAAATGTAATCCCCTTTATCAACAGGCTAAAGATGAAAAAAGATGATCATATCAACTGATCCAGAGAAAGCATCTTAAAAAATTCATCATTCACTCATAATTTTTAAAAAAATTCAACAAATTAAGAATAGAGGAAAACTTTCCCTACTTGATAAGAAGCACTTAAAACAAAATATAAAATTAACGTTATTCTTAATGGTGAAAGAAAGGCTGAAGACTTTTCCCTTAAGATTGGGAACAACTAATAAACAAAAATCTCTTGCATTTCTATTAACAATGAGAAAACAGAAAGAGAAATTAAGGAAACAATCCCATTCACCATTACAACAAAAAGAATAAAATACTTAGGAATATATTTACCTAAAGAAACAAAAGATCTATATACAGAAAACTATAACACACTGATGAAAGAAATCAAAGATGACACAAGTAGATGGAGAAATACACTATGTTCGTGGATTGGAAGAATCAATGTAGTGAAAATGAGTATACTACCCAAAGCAATCTATAGATTCAACACAATCCCTATCAAACTACCAATGATATTTTTCACAGAACTAGAACAATTAATTTCACAACTTTTATAGAAACACAGAAAAACCTCGAATAGCCAAAGCAAGCTTGAGAAAGAAGAATGGAACTGGAGGAATCAACCTGCCTGACTTCAGACTGTAGTACAAAGCTACAGCATCTAGACAGTATGGTACTGGCACAAAGACAGAAATATAGATCAATGGAACAAAATAGAAGGTCCAGAGATAAATCCACACATCTATGGACACCTTATCTTTGACAAATGAGACAAAAATATACAATGGAGAAAAGACAATTTCTTTAACAAGTGGTGCCTGTAAAAGAATGAAACTAGAACACTTTCTAACACCATACACAAAAACAAACTCAAAATGGATTAAGATCTAAATGTAAGACCAGAAACTATAAAACTCTTAGAGGAAAACATAGGCA